CGACGGTGTTCTGACCCCAGTCCGCAGCTGGTCAGCCTCTCTCCACTCTGCCAAGATGATGAGAGTTGCGTCAGGACGGATCACCACCAGAGACCGCCACCGGTGCCGAGCCAGGGGTCGAGCAGAGGACCGCAGGCATCCGACGTATCCCCGAAGACAAACAGGAAAGGTACGCTGAAGGGCAATCTTTGGCTTCGTCAGGACGTTGAAACGCCTGGCACTCCAGTTAGACGAATAAATATCAAACTCGTAGTTTTAGCACCATCCACTAACCAGGAAACTGTCGCAGGACTCGCGACGTGGGGCAAGAAGGTCGGTCGGAAGTGGGAGCAGCTGAAGAGGAGCGACTCCTCCGAGCTGCTGGCAGTCACGCCCGGTAGACGGCGGCACTGGTCGCCCAACAAATCGCCCCCGCCCCCACCCCCGCCACAGGAGCAGGCGGCGTCCGGCACCGCGGCCCGCGGTCGACGCATCTCACGCGTCGAGTCACTGCGGAACTTGTTCGCTGGTCGCAACAGCAAAGTGGACAAACAGACAAACACCGACCGCGACCCCGACTGGGTCAAGGAGGAGTGCAAACGCGGCCTCGCGGACCTGTACCAACTGAACGCCATGCTCATGATGGACGAGCAGTTGCTGGAGTACCTGCAGAACTCGCTAGGGCCTGACGCGGCCAAAGCCCTCAGCTGTGAGGACCTCCTGTCGGCTTTCAGGGCTGTAGCCAGTGACGAGGAGTCGTCCAGCAAATCCAAGAAGCGGTCCTCCAAGTTGTCTGTGCTAACCGAGGAGAACTCTGGCGCGGGTTCTCCAAAGCGAATGACAGTGTCCACGAGTTGCGACGACCTCCTGGCGAACGACGCCGAACTGCGTCCGAAAGCCTCCATGAGAAGTTCAAGCCTGTCCGACGCGCCACTGTCTGTCAGCGACCTCTGTCTCTTCCTCAACAACCTGCTGCTCCTCCGGTCGGACGAGAGTGGCTACGAGAGCGACTCCACGCGGACAGGCTCGGACTCCCCGCGCGGATCCATCAAGTCCACGACTTCGGATTTGCCTTCGTCCAATGGCCTGATACAGCCCCGGAGAGGCACGGACGAACAGCTGCAGGAGGAAGGAGAGGATGAAGCCAAGACTGCGGACAGCGTGTTCGAGGCGCCAGGAGAAACCAGCCAGGAGAAGCTGTCCTTCTCGCGGAAGAGGAACGCCATCAGGCGGGGCGACGTGAAGGCGATAGGGAGGCGACCGCGGTCCACGGGTGGGGACCCACCCGAGTCGCTGCTGTGCGACAGATGCAAGCCGGAGGAACTGAAGTGCATCCGGGTCTGCAAGGACGTGACAGGAGAGCTGGGGGTGTACATCGAGCGCAAGGATCCGCGCACCAGCTGCTACGTGATTTCGCGTATCGAGCAGGGCGGGCTCATGGACAGGTGAGAGATTTCTTGGGAGTTCAAGGTGGTCCGAATTTGCACAGTAGCCACATCACAACATTGCCACACTGCTGTTTCTGTCCAGGGATGGCCGTTTCCACGTGGGCGACGAACTGGTGAAGGTAAACGGCCGGCGCCTGCGCGGCATGACGCTTCAGGAAGCCCGCATGACGCTCAAAAACTCTCCCCGAGAAGTGGACATCGTGATTGCCCGGAAGTGCGAGGACAAGCCGCCAGTCGTGACGGGCATGAGGAAGTTCTCGTACCAGTTGGATCACGTGGCGCCTCGGAGACGCAGTTGCAATGTGCCGCCCACCGTCGGGCCGGGGCGTCGCGTCACGGCGGGTACCCTTCCTAGGCGGCCCAAATCCCTGTCCCTCTCTCTCTTCACCGTAACGTTCCACAAGGGACCAGGAAGGAAGTCTCTGGGGTTCAGTGTCGTTGGCGGACGGGACTCTCCCAAAGGTAGCATAGGTATCTTCGTAAAGACGGTGTTCCACTCGGGGCAGGCGGCAGAAGACGGCAGCCTCAAGGAGGGTGAGTGTCGACCACTGAGCCGCTCTGCTCTGAACGACTTTCGATGCGCATTTATGGCATAGCCCCTCTGTGTTTCAGGAGATGAGATCCTGGCCGTGAATGGCACGCCACTGCAAGGCCTCACGCACTCTGAAGCCATAACAGTGTTCAAGAACATCAAGAGTGGGGAGGTGCTTCTGCATGTGGGGCGAAGGGACCTGCAGACCTGCAGGTAACGACAACTGACCACTTATGGCCAATCTCCAGACCAGATTTCACGTGGCTCAGAAATGTTTGCGCCAGTCTGTGGACCAGACATTTCTGTCTTCTCGTCTCCTCATCCACTGTGCCCAGGCTGAATGTGGACCGCTCCCCTCTCCAGAGGAAGAAGCCATGATTCAACTTTAACTGCAATTATGAAGCACATTTCAGGACGATAATGTTTATCCAGACAGCGATAATGCGTGTCTTCTTGGATGTTCATGTTTCCCAAATCCCTCCAGCCAAAATACAGACCGCTGTATGCTTTGTCAATGTTTCGCTGTGTCTGATGCCAACATTTCGCCATTCACAGGGCCAGCAAATCGAAGTCGTGCGACGACCTGGACAAATTCAGTGGCTGAACGGCAGACAGGAGACCTGGTGATTCCAGAACCACGCAGTCAGGGCCGTAATCGGACACGTCTTTGTTGGAAATGTGTCATCTTAGGGACACACGGGGCGGTCCAGTTCAGCAAAACATCACTCATCACGCCTCAAAGACGCTGCCACTCGTAAGCAGATGATGTCTGCTCCTCAGGACGCAGTGACGTAGTTTGAGTGTTTCAGTGTTCTTGGGACAGTGATAAGCGATCCCACAACTACTTTGTTACACCAGATGTCGCATTACTTAAGGTTCCGTGCTGGCTGTGAGCTCTCTGATGCGCCGGATTCGAATCGAGCTCCGGGTTACTCCGGCTTGTGGCATTTATGAATACCCGGAGCTTCTCCTCTGTGCTCAGACATTCTGTGGGGAAAGTTACGGCAAACAGTTCCTCTTCACGTGGCGTGGGCTTCTCAACTTGCTTCTTAAGACAGGCTACCCAACTGTACAGTTATGTAGTCAAGTCTGCTGGTGTTATGACGGTGTGTCCACACTATCCTCTGTGTATATAGATTTGCTGTACTTTTATTCACAATAAATTCTGACAGATCTGTTTATGCTGGACAGTCTGTCAACTGAATGTTTCGTATACTTTTTCTCAGTGGCCCCAGACAAAAATTTAAAGTATATTGCATAAACCTCGCAGTTACAAAGGAACAGGGACTCAGCAGTCAATGCCTTCGGCCTGCTTGCAGTTTTAGGAACCTACTGGTCTGTGGGGCTGTAAAATCGAACTACATCTTACTACCTTCAACCACACGAAATAAGACGAGCCCTTCTGAGTTGCTCCATACAGCATCACTTCCTGATAAACAGCGTGACTTATTATTACAGGGCTATAGAAGCCGGCTCCTGTATTACAAAAATTTCCCGCTGTGGCTCCACAAGTCTGCACCCGCACGGCTAGCCTCTGGACACTGCTGTCATCTACAGCACGAGCTCATAACCGCGCATGGGACGAGCGCGTGCGCGGAGCTACTGGGACCAGTGAGGATTACGAATACGCGATACGTGGCGTTTCCCAACAACAAGGAAAGAGAGAGTGCCTAAATATTTTCTCGTCCTTTGTCTCTGGGTTTTGACGCCCTGTGGAACGGGCGAACCCTTCACCGTATTTCCACCTCGCCTTCATTTTAAGGGCCACTGCCCTAGGAATTTGTACGAAGGCCTTCAAAAGCTAATACTTGGAAGGGGAGATAATATTAAAATGGGCCCAATGTTGAACATTGGAAGTAATTATATAACATATGACTGCTTTAACAAGTAATCGGGATTAAGATTCTGTTTCCCACGAGTGCGATACGAAATTCCTTTGTTTCTACTCTCCTTTTACGTAAGTCTGAGTCACCGTTGCATCAACTCCCAGCGGTGGGCAAACATTTTCAAACTTTTTACACGTAAATTAGAAGACACGGAAAACCCAGGCAATTGCTTATTCTTCTTGATACTGCGTTCATAATTAACACGACCTCCTTAAGTGAAGTCTTATCGGACAGTTTTAAGAGATAATAATGTGAAAAAATTAACTACGTGACTCATCGTGAACATCTGTCACTGCGTCCTTGATCACTATGTGAGACACGAGGGGGAGAAAAAACAATGACGTCATACGATGACAAGACAAAGCCAGGAAGATTCCGGTTATTAACATTTCTTTTCGGTTATACCAACTCGTTTCGTTCTCCCGCCATAAACACACATTCACATGTAACGGTGGTTCGAGGGATCGGGAAGGAAGGGGCGCCAGTTATTCTCGACTGTGACCACGTTGAATGCCTGTTTCCTGGGGCGTGCGAACTTTCAGGCAGACACAAACGCTTCGGAGAGACGTACCAGCCCCTTGGATTGAGGAAGTGACTTGCTTCCGAGCGTCGGTGGTTCATGTCTCTCCAAGTCCACGCAGCGCAACAACCCAGAGCACCGGCCGTCGTGAGAACCTCAAATCTCAGATTAAATAACAATTTTAAAACTGGTATTTTAAGTAACCGCATCTAATTCCTCGTCGCCGAAGCCTCGTATGGTAGAATATTCTCCCCCTTCAACTCAGAGACAATAAAAGGCCGAGGCCTACTTCAGAACGCTCCTTTCGAATAAGACACTGACTGCTCATTAATACCCGTAATTCCACGCTACTCGAAATTACATGAAGTCTGGGGCTGAAACAACGTCGTTTAATGACCTAAGAACCATCGTCTTTTACGAGTCTTTGGAGACACATAAGAAATGAGTACAAGATTTTGGTTCTTAAACCAGGAACAAGACTTTCTACGAGCGGTTGGCGGTTATCTGGCTATTGTTATAGGACCCAGAGGTTCGTCACCGCCACAACAAAAGCCTGAGATTCAATCCACTTATGACAGAGCCACAGTTGGCGGCGAGAGACAGCCAAGTTCTACACCAGTACGAAACAGAGACAAATATTTTCGAATTTAGAAACGAGGCATTCACGTCCTGTTCTTATTTAATTCATAAATACCTGCACGCTGTTGGCAGCACTGCCCTGGCAACGGTCACCAAGGCCACGGGTTTGAATTTCTGAGAAAACTGATTTTGCCAGGAGAGTCACGTTTAATCGAAATCCACTGCGTGGTATCGGAGGCTCTTATTCCCAGGTCGTGGAGGTTTCGGGGACGAAATTCCATACTAGACTTTTGGCACGCAAACGCCTCATATTTCATTTACGAGTCCGTCCACCCTCTGAATACCAAAACAAGCCGCTCTTCTTCAAAAGAAAAGGCCGACGGCCGCTCCACCTCTCATTCCCTGCTCAGAAATGTCCCACACGGACGCGTCTCACACCTTGTGGCTCATCCTCTGCTTCATGAGTGTTGTCGCGCTGTGGCCTCTGCGACAAGGCCGAGTTTACTCGGTCTTACGTCACGTGCCTTACATACTGGCGGTCTGCGCCTTCGTGTTCTGGTTCGGGGAGCTCGGGACGGTCGTAAGCGCGCGCCGAGACACGAAACAGCTGCTGGGTTACGTGGGTCTTCTGAGCGGCCACTCCGTGTCCCTCTACAAGTGGTGCAACCTGGTTCTCAAACGCCGACGCCTCCAGCGGCTGGTGGACTCCCTGAGCGCGTGCCTGCAGATGGGATCTGCCGCCGATCGGTCGGCGGAGCTCCACCGCTTCACCAGGGCCACCAACACCCGGGCCACGATCATGACCGTCTGCTGGATGGGTGGCGCCATGTGCGTCATATTCTACTGGTCTCTGGCGCCACTCCTGCACAACGGCAGGCTGGTGGAGCTGCCCGGTGTCCATGGCAACGAGAGCGCGCACAAGAGGCTTTACTTCCTGCCGTTCGGCGAGTGGCATTTCCTGGACACGAGCGGGTCCCCGACGTACGAACTGCTGTACGTCGTCTGGGCAACTGGCAGCGTCTCGAACGGCTGGATGCACGCCTGCTGCGACTGCTTCTACCTGCACGTTATCTCGTTCTTCTGCGGTCAATTCGAGTTCCTGACCGCGACCATCCGCCTCTCGGAGCAGTACTCCGACTTGTCGGCCTGCGTTCGTTACCACCAGCAGTTACTGAGGTGAGCGCTCGACAGAATCCCGTCTGGCCCACACCTCCCCCGCGCACTCGGTGACGCAGGGCGATTCTTTCCTGTTTCAGAGCAGCGAAGCGTCTCGACGCCCTCTTCTCGCCCCTCATGTTCGTCCAGCTCATCAACACGCTGCTCGCGCTCTGCACCTTCGCGTTCGATTTGAGCACGGTGAGTCACGTGACGTAGGGAATAATTCCCACATGCACGCAGTTACGCACTACTTCATGTAGGGGCGCGTTCCGTTGCAGATGAAGCCGGGCAGAGGGGACTCCGACCTGTCGAGTAAAGCGGGCTTCTTCGCGGCGAGCGTCTTCCAGCTTTACTTGTACTGCAGGGCGGGCAGTCGCCTCACCGAACTGGTTAGTGCGCTCTGTCATCTTCCGAACCACCCTGTATAACGTCTGACATCCTCGATTCACATCTTGAAATTCACTCTTCTTTTTCGAACAGAAGAAATAATCTTTGTGGTCAATGTTTGTGACGCTTAAACATCTCTAAGTCGGTTGCTAATTGAATGACTCTCATTTCCTTCCTTTAAACATACGTGTCACCTACAAACATCCGAAAAGCCAAAACGTGACAGCCCACTGATGCGGACAGCCGACAACGGGCGGTCCAGTTCTGGTTCCGGCTAAATGACACAATCCAGAGTGACCGCGTTCTGTTGCAGAGCGGGTTGGTCGCGGACGCTGGCTACGAGACCCGCTGGGTTGATAAAGACAGGTCTTGGCGGCGAGCCGTGGAGCTGATCATAATGCGAGGCCAGAGGTCCTTCCGGCTCAATGGAGGGCCCTTCTACGTCATCTCGCTTGAGACACTGTTAGCGGTAAGAGACTGAACGTATTCCTTGGGCACAGTTGGCCTCCATCCGGGCAGTTCACGCATCGTGGCTCAAGATTTTGACAAACGGACAGGAAAAAATAACTTAATTCTGGATCAAAAACTGAGGTTCGCACAAGACCCATAACACATATTTGCTTGTCTGTGTCCACAGCACGTTCAGCTGGCTTTCTCGTTCTTCACCGTGCTGAAGAACATGAACGGACCCGAGGCCTGACCGACCAAGCTGCCACGCTGACCTCCAAAGTAATTCATCTTTTGCAGGGTCCACCTGCTACTAGCGTAGTGCATTTTAGGGTTTCGAATGACAGCCACGTACTGTTGTAAATAATAATAATAATAATAATAATATAAACAACAAAATCGGAAAGTGTGTTCTCACTCTGGTCGCCAGATCGCAGCACATCAAAGTTCGCCTCACGACTTTCCTCATCCGTAATTTTGTTATCACGACTCACAGGAAATTCAAAACACGATTCTGAGGTCGTGCAGAACGGCACATCCACCACATCAAATTTCACCCAAATCCGTCCAGTGGTTCTCAGGTTGAACCGACTGGACAAACGGACGGACCAGACCAGACCATAATGCACTCTTGAGTTCCTTGTTGAAAACACACATCGGTCAAGCAATCATTGTACCCCTGCCGTTATGCATCCCAACTTGCTTTCCAGCCGACTGCTTCAAACGGAACCGGGGCGATCCTTACGAAGGGTGAACGGTCCGGAAAATGCTGAGGGGAAGGAAGGGTGTTATAAGAACGGTTATTAAATGGCTGCGAGTTACTCGGACTGTCTGAGCACGTGCCAGAAGCCGACGCGACTGGGGTCGGCGGATCAACACCCGCTGAGGTCTGGAGCTGTTCCCGGTCCAGTCCGGATCAAAGCAACGGGCAGCAGTCGCCTGACAATCCGGCGTTAATAGTTCTGTGGAACATAGACATAAACGCGATCATCACAAGTCAAGGAACGCCGTCTCCTGCACACGTGAAGTCAGAACTTTCCTACCGAAACAAGCGACACGTTCTGAATCTCCCGAAACCCTCGGCCTTCCGACTGTGAGTTGTAGCCGGTCGTTTAGTGGGTCAATTACACGTAAGAGACCCACATCGTGTGATATGACGTCACACTCCAGGAAATCGAGCAGTCGCCTGCACGTGGTAGAAGGTACGAGACCCACCGTTCGTCACCGCAACAACATCATGCAAACGACGGCGACGATCACCGAGGTTTTCAGGGGCTGACTGGCTCGTCCCTCGACCTCACTCGCTCTTGTGACGTCACGACATTCCAGACACCGCGCGCGGGCGGCACTCGGGCGGAGACAGTCGGTCGCGAGACACCGAGGAGTACGAACGCAGTGCAGTGACGGAGTACGGAACCTCGCCCTGAAGAAGGGAACGGAGGCAACACGGGCGTGCTGTTGCAGCGGGTATGTGTCAACACGACGCACGTTTCGGTTCATTTCAATCAACTGCTAAGGTTATGCTGCGTCAACACAACACGAGGTACGATGTTAGTTGATTACAAGGTCATTTAACGACGCTGTATCAGCTGCAGAAATTTCACAGCGCCGAATGAGACGGGGAGACGATCCCGAGTGGACAGAAGGGAGGCATTCGCTGGGCAGACGGGGGAAAACCACGAAAAAGGCTTGTCCTGCAATGGTATAAATTTCATGGAGGTGTGACGCTCCTCTGGTGTGCGTGAGTCGCATATTAAGCAAGTGTGTCAGCGCGCACACCGCCTCACGCGAGGCGACGCGCGGCTTGGGCGCAGCCACTTAAGTCGCCCAGCATTCAGGTTACCTAGCAACGAGCGTCACACACGACACGTGATTCTTCACGTGCCATTTACACAGGTGATAAACACGCAGGGCACACATCCTGCTCGAATACAGCGCGCGCACAAAGTCTCTTTAGTTCGGTTTGAAGAGTCGTCTACTTTTGCGCGTGACCTGTACAAAAACGCTTTCTAATTACAGGAACGAACGCCCCGGCCGGCCACGGTCGGTCTCAGTGTTTCATTGCAGGCGCTGCGTACAGGCGATTTTCTTCAAATTTCTGTGAAGGTTAGAGAACAGCGCCACCGAACATGCCATCCGTTGTTTTCCTCAGTATCTCCAGGCAATGCCTTCGAACACGACACGACCTTTCCCACTCATCCGTGACCATTTCTCCACCGGGCAGTTGAAACAGCGTCGTTAAATAACCTATTAATCAGCGGCAGAGCACAGAACAAGGTGGGACGCGGTCCACCGGTTGCGAGTCAGTGCTGTGGCAGCAACTCGACTCCACAGAGAAGCTCGTAGTTGCTCAGATGGTCCAGAAATCCCTACCCTGTTCACGAGAGCCCCCTGGGGGGGGGGGGGAGTTGTGTTTTTGACAGGAGTCGGAAGGGTCCTCAGACCGCGCGACCTGCTCCTTACTGCAAGGTCTGTGTTGTTGTTGTTGTTGCAGGTCGGCAGAGGTCAGCAGCGCCTGGTCGCGCGATGGACTGCCTCACTCAGGTAAGCGCACCAGACATTGTTAACGGCGAATGCAGAAACAATCGATTTCAGCGACGACTGTCAGACTGTATTACCGCCACGCCCCACTACTCCAGCAGATCGTGACGTTTTATAATGGGACACACGCGGGTCGCTCCTGAGTAAAGTCACGTCCAACTCAGAAGACGTAAACGTAGGCGAATTACAGTCTGTGAAACGCGAACTTTGGGCTCGCATAGGAGACAGTGGATCAGCCGGCGAAGTGAGGAGTTTCGGTACCGACGATGATGAACTTTCCACGCCTCGCACCAACTCTGGCCCGCGGTGGCGCTGAGAGATGTCGCCCAGCCAGGTTGTGGGAAGAGAAAGGGTTTCTGTCAGTCTCCGTGTGGGAATGTGAAGTACGCCTCCTCCCCGCCTTGTGACGAGGAACGTGTGTGCGTGTACTCGCTTGTGAAATCAAGGCAGATCCGTTGTCGCCATGGCTACCCAGGTCGCGCAGTATGTGTGCTGTCGGGTGCGTACGACGGAGACCTGAATAGTGGGAGTACCATCACGTCCTGGTACGCACGTTCAGACACCGACTTCTCGCGGAGCGGTCGGTATGCGCGGCAGGGAGCGGTTTTGCATGTCATCAAAATGACGTAAGCTGCTGTGCCAACACTTACGACCGCGCTGAGCCTCGTACAGCAGGAGAAGGCAACATGGCCGGCGTGGGGGTGTTTTCTGGGAGGTCGCAACTGAGACCGCTGAGATAAGCTTCGCTCTTCAGGCTGCGTGATCTGGCCAAGAAATTTCCTGGCGAGATTTCAGGTTCTCACGGCGACGAGTGTGACGATGAATGTCTTCTGTGATAATGCACACCGTGTAGTCTGGTTGAAAATGACCGACGTTTCAGAGGAACTTACTGCTTCCATCATCAGGGCGAAGAGTCGCCACCTTAATGGAAGCAGTAAGCGCCTCTGAAACGTCGGTCATGTTCATTCATCGTCATGAAACTAGAGAATTCATAGATGCTGGTTCTAAAAACCTGAGAACCTACGAATACATCACAATCTTGAACGAGTAACAACTTAAAATCAGAAACTGGTACACCGAGGTCACATTATGACAGTCTACCCTGACGATGACAGATAACAGGTGTATGACCTTCAAGTTTCCACCGGAATTTCAAGGACACGTGAACCGGGAGTGACGGTAATATCATCACACAAGTAGCCTTACACGAACAGGAATGTGGATGCTGGCAAACACGTCTCCTAATATGAGACAGACAAAAGCAGCAGCCATCAGTTGCGGAACCTGGCGACCTTACTTGTAATTAGCAGTAGAAAGCGATTGACTAAAATAGTTGCTCGCGTTAGCCTTGGGACTGTTGATGAGAAAGTGCAGAGTTCCTCGTCACAGGACGCGCAAAAATGCACGACCCTCGTCCGTCCTCGTTCTTGAGAGAAGGTCGGCAGAGACGAGACTTGTAAAGGCGTTCGACTCTCGGCAGGGACGCCACTGAGACGACGCCTGTACTCGGCCGCAGGTTACAAACGCTGACCGATCTTTCTTCGAGCGCCGCGACGCTGTTCAAAAACGAAGACGTTCGCTCCGACCTACTTTACCCTCGCGTAACGTCGATCGATATTAGTCGAGCCTCCCGGCACTGCGTTAAAGTCGATTTCGCTGGTTATTGTTGCGTGAACCCGGAAGGGAGGCCACGGAATTTCTCTCACGTCTGGACCGCTCCGTCGTCGCGTGATGGCCGCGCCCCGCCACTACAGAGGCAAACCCAACGTCTCTCTGTTCTGTGCCCGCGGGGAAACTTCCCTTTCGGTACCAACAAACGCGATCCTCTGACCAGCTGCGATGTAAATAGGCAAATTATTCGCGACTACTGTGGAAACGAGGGACGTACAATTTGTATGACGAAACATCTGTAAAGGGGACGAGGTAGGAAGATGAAAAACACAACACCGTTTGTTTTTGAAACAGCCATCTTGAACGGAGGGAGAAACGCCTGCCCCAAAGCGACGGAAATGCAGACAGACGAAATTAGATGACTGTGGAGTACAAATTAGGTAAGAGTTTACAAAGCAAGGCAGGGCGAGCCGCGAGAATGCAACGAAGACGAAGGGTAAGATGAAAGTGGAGAAGGACAAGGCTCGGCGCTACTCCTCCCTGCTCCGTTCTTCGTGGCCGTTTTACGTAACAGGTGTAAGAACGCAATTAACCCTTTGAATCCGAAGATCGTCTGAATATTATTTATGAATCCAGACCGTACCGCGAAGAAAACACTTCACTTAACCATTAGAAGTCGAATCAGGCGGTACCACATAAGATTTAACAAAAGAACATCCCGGTCAAACTTCACTCTGGTGTTGATTGACGGGCATCGGAGGTTCGGCCTCGTCGCAAACTCGCGCATACATTGACTCAGAGACTGTCCGCTCTAAGAACGTGCTTCTAAGGTTTGTGGAGCAGCCTGTAGCTCGCGGTGTGTTGACGTCAATGGTGGAAGGACGGGCAAACAGTTCCAACACGAACAGCCGAACGACTGAAGCGGTTAATCTCTTTGGGACAAGGTAAGGTAATCGCGCGTTTCAGGAAATTCAACTTCAGAACAGAAACTTGTGGCAAGAAAATAGGAAGGTCGCTGCTGGGGACGGACGGACAGACGCATTAACACGCGCCGACCCAATCCCGTCTGCCCAACTACGGAAAGTACGCACTGCACACGCCTCTTTAAATGGGCTGCACGTGCGAGGCGTTTCTGCCAACCTCGGGGCCTGCACGCGGACGAACGACGAATGAGGACGGAGGGAAACGGGTGTAGTCGTGGCCGATTTAATGTCAGTGGCTAATAACACCTGAACATGGCACATGACAACGACCTCCGACAGGCCGACTCCGTTGTTCCGGGAAAATGCCTCGCTCCCTCTCAAATTGCCCTGGGATAAAGACGGCCGCAGCGCGAAGGTCACTCAGCAGTTACTACGTCGTAAAACAAGCGCACCTCATTTCACCTCATCCGAATAGGCCACACGCGGCTTCGTCTTTTGCGTGTTCAGAATCTCTCGGAATCCCATCGAGTGAAACGAAGTCCCCCGGATTACAATCGTATCGACCTAAACAATTCCCTCGTCGTCTTTGTTTCGCCCGACAAGTGACGCCACAGTCTCAGGAACGCGCGACCGTCAATTGTCACTCGTTCCCAACATGCCTCAAATAACAGTCCCCCTGTTTTTGTCTCAAAGAAAACCGTAACTATAGCAACGCAGTTCGCTGCTCTTTTATTTGTTAGGAAATGTCATGACTTCATATGAATGGAATTACCTCAGAAGCGTTCAACAGTCGTTTGCAGGAGTGCCAACTTAATTTGACTGCAAAGCTGACAGGACAACATGGCGCATCAGCTGCCTGCAGCGACTGGTATAAATTCTACGTGACCATCTGAAGTCGCCAGGTTCGTAGCCTTGTTTCCATAGCGACAGACCGTATCCACGTTTTAATGAGTACCATTTCGATTACATTTCGCGTTGGCCGTGCACACTGGGAGTTGTGGGGACAGAATTTAATTTTGGTAAGTTCTGGCTCAGTACAAACACCCCCCCCCCCCCCAAAGATCTGAATATCACTGTGAAGTGGGCCGATTACCTTCGCAACAAATGACGTGCTCCATGCGGTATACGCTCGTGATCTCGGCCAGATAATAAGAGCATTGTTACGGTACCGTCGGTCACCATGACAACACCGCACACTTAAATATCTGACGGTCATTCTCTGGAAATTCTGCGCGGTCTAAGAACAAAACGGCTGATTACTGCACTTTCCGTCTTCGCTCTAATTACTGTGATTTACTGAATTATAAAGTCTCGTGCCCATTAAGTTAACGCTGCCAGGCGTTTAGTGCCAAAGTCACTACCCCACACAAATTCAAGGCGCGGTGCTTAGTAAGTGCCAGAGATTATCCAACTCTTTTAAGTTATACTTCATATATAATACGCCGTGTCTCTGTACAAAATCACACTCTCGACGCTGTGCAGTTGATGCAGCATAGTTAAATAACTAACACTGCAAAGAATACCTCACTAAACCTCCGCGGCCCAACTGTTTGCTCCTTTCATAGAACGAAAGTTCACCACGCTTCACTGTACATTAACACAAACTTACAACATAACCCAAAAAACCGTTACTTTTAATAATTAAACATCAACCGTCCCATACTTTTAATTTCGTTCAATATAAAGTGTCGAGATATGGCATCGGGCCAACAGCATCACTTTCTTTGGTGCAAGATTAACCACTATCTGTTGTGCACACAAAACACCATATGAATAAATACAGATCATGATTGATGAATATGGCTTGTCTTCTCGCTCGCAGCGCCGCGTCGTCTCACAGCCTGCAAATCACAAGTGTTCTTGTAACAGACAGAACCCACTTACCTCGTGTGCAGCGTCCGTGGCATTTTAGCACATCCATCGCAGTGTGTTACAAGTTCAAACACGGACACAGTTAAAACACTTAATAAGTCGCACACAGCACACAACAAAAACTTCACATGGCCCGTAGCACTATCACAGAAATGGCGCCGGAAGGAAGAAGGACTAGAAACAAAAGACTGTCGCACTGCGAGACTCGGGGGGTGCGTTCATAAACTCTACAATTAAAACTCGCGGTTAGAGCGCGACACGAAATAGAAAACCTGAAATATGAAATAGCGTTTCGTAACGAGGCAACAACGACGTATCGAAATGTGAAGATATTTAGGCCCACGGATCGTGATGAGGCCTAAAGTTAGCGAAGTAATTTTATTTTCAGTTCATACAGGGCCGACGCTTGAAATTCGTTTTGTGCTGTTATTACGATGGCGTGCGTTCTGAAAACAACGCTCTAAATACTTTCTTTATGCATAAATAAAACTAAATACACTAAAAATTCTGACTTGAATGACAGTTTTATATCTGTTGGATCTAACGCCTTATCTGATTGCATAGACTAAAGGTAAATAATAATAATAATAATTTACATTTATTTAAAGTCATTTCTAACCTGTCGAATGAGAGGTTTATTATAACAGAAAGACAGCTGGGGAGCTGTTAGTATTCCATTGCAGCCTATTTACCCAAATTGGGAAGATTATGACCGGCGGTGGTTTGAAAGATTATTATTATTATTATTATTCACGAATGAGGCACTCGGTTGCCTGTACCGACCTCCCATTGCCCATCTAAACGTTCATTTCGAGACACCCGTAGGTTTTAATCTGAAATTTAGCACCAATGAAGAGTCAGCGTTGGGCTGGACACGTAGCAGGGGGGGGTTGAATGTCTTGCGTGGGAGAGTTACATTTAAAAACCTATATTAGGAAAGTCACTTGTGATTAATTTCAGCCCGTTCATAATTACCTCACTAAAGATTTCTCAGGCACGCGTCATAATTCTGGGAACGTGTGTGATTGGCCAAGACCCCGTCGATGCAATTTATTCGTTCCCTCCCGCCCTGAGAAAATAGTCCGGTCTCACGGCGTCCAAAAGGAAAAGCGACTTCCGTGTTGTTGCGGAATCAGAAGGATCATCAACGTCGACACAAAAGCCCACTATCAGACTGTTCGGACAGTGACGCCTCCACAGCTTATACCCTGATAACGGAGGCAGCATGTACGTAGTGGCGGATTAAGGAATGAGAAGACGGGTGTTCTGACTGAACTTACCGCAGACGATAAGCACCCTGATGATGGAGTCAGTGAGCACATCTGTAGCGACGGTAAAAGTCTACACGGAGCAACAACCGTCCGTCTTCTTCTGTTTCAGTTACGTCAGCTGTTTCTCGCTCCACACACTCCCTAAAGAAAGACAACTCACTCACGTTGAGACAAGCGAATGTCGGCTCACGGCCTACCCGTTTTGTTACGAGAGGCTGACGAATGTCCTTCTGCGAACACTTCCAAAACACATCGGTGCAGAAAGCAAGATGGCGCTTAATCAAACGAATACAGCCCGGACTTCCGGTGGTCGGAAAACAATGCTCAAACCGCTGTCGCCATTAACATGATCTAGTTCTAGCAAGGACTGGAGGTCGATTCCCGACGATGGGCTTGCCAAGTACCCTGTCAAGGAATGAGCCTCCCTACATTTTCGAGGTTTTTCTCAGTCCCTCCAGGCAGTTTAAAATAAGCCACGACGTGCATTTCACATGTCGCACCCGATTCGTGATCGTTCTATCAGATTGTTTGAGATTCGGTAGTTGATTGAGCGGTGTAACTCAACATTCGACCTGTATTTTGTGTGATCTGAAAGAAAGTTTTACAATCCCCCAAGTATTAAGAATGACTCTCTCTTTTGTTTAGGTTTTCAGGGCTGTGTTCCCTGAATTTAACTTTTCTATTGAAAGTTACAGCTTCAGAATTAAGAATTCGGTTGTTACGCGACGTACACCACTCTTCCTGAAAAACAAAAGAACGCGACCGACCGCACGGTATTCAGCTGTTTTATGAGGGGGCGTGATGGCGTTGGAGAAATCACGGAGGTCAAGGAACTAGGCGGCAGCACTCGACCAGTCACGATATATCAACTGCTGACGTCAATACGCATTGACAGATCTCGATGTAATTTGGAACGCTGAGGGGCACAGCGTCCATTTTAAACGAGATAGCGTGACATCTGAGCTTTCATCGAGGGCAGGGAGGACGTCTCATCTCAAAAGCTTGTAGAATCATCCATAAATCTTTACATGAACCACTTTTGCACTGAGATGTTTATGGTTGCTATAGCGACACAAGTTACGAAATTCTGACAAGCGTGACTTGTCCCCTTGTTGCTCTCAGGGACACGGCGACTTCTGGTGCGGAGGGGGGAGGGGGAGGTGGCCCATAGGCGCTGTGTAGGCCCGCGGGTCAGAGGTCACATTAAAATACGGAAACCAAGGCCTTGCTATTGCAAGCCAGCGAGCAGAAATCCACCTGTTCATGCGTTTTGAGTTCTTATGATTTCCAAACGTCGGTGTGTTGGCAGCACGTGGATACAAATAACTTTATACCACCCCAATAACTGTAAAAAATAACCTCAAATTCTGATCGATGATGATAATAATCTGTATCGCAAACTGCGTACTGGTGACTGAATTTTCCTCAGCGTAATGAATTAATATCATCCTCAAGCCTTTCACATGTACAGCATTTGTGTGTACGTAGCAATTTCATTCTACCTGTTGCTATGGACCTAACGCATGCGCACAGGAATCTAAGCTTAGAGTCTCACAGATACGAGGGGCGTAGCTTTTACACAGTCAGCTTTGTGTATCACCGCGTTCATTCGCTTCAGTTCCAGGTAAATTTTTGAGCAATGGACGTTTCCAGTATCTCGACTTTCGGAGAGAGCCGCACCCTCGGGGTAGCACGGTAGTCAGTGCGATGGGGGTGGGACAGGTACAAACCTGTCCCGTTCTTTATTCTCTGGACGCTGACACCGGGTGCACACAAAATGTTTTCACCAAGGAGGGCACGGCCTGAGGATCTCACGGCGGTGGAAACGAAGATGGCCGTCTTCTGGGTTGTAGCGCCGTGACGTCTGGCAACCCCACCATGCAGGCAACGAGTGCCTCTGAAACGTGCGAGGGGTGTGGAGTAGACATGTGAACACGACTGTGGGACACCGTGTTGCGCAGATACCTGCCTCGTCTCGCAGACAGAGCCAGGGCCGTCTGCAGTTGCCTGGATGTTTAGCGACAGCAAACCACTCGGTGCGTTAGTCTGGCGACGGCAGAGCG